GGGAAGGCCTTAGTGGCCGGATCGAAGGGGCCTGCTCAACAGCTAGTGCCTCAGTGGCTTGTGGAGACCCTCTGTGGCTTGAGACGAGAAGCTTCAGTGGCTGAGTGGCCGAAGCCAGTGTGGCATAAAGCTGGAGGTCGCGCTGTGCATCCCAATGTGGTCCCGCATTCAGTGGTCGCGCTCGAGTTAGCCAACTACAACTCGCCTCCTATCCCCGCTAACCAGCGATCTTCCCCAACTATCGTTGATTTTGTTGATTTTGTTTGTGAATGAACTTTCATTTCTTCTGCTTGTCTTTCAAGCACTGTGAAGAGGTCGCTACTTCACCATCACCATAAGCCTCCAAAAGAAGACTAAGGGTAAGAACCGAGAGGAGAATCCGGTGGTGGAAGCTGCACCGAGCGGAGAAGAGCGACCTCAAACGAAGGATAATGGAAGTTGGTCTCCCAGATCCTGAGGGACCAGTGCAGCAGACTTGGAGCAATGCAGCTGAGATCATCCTGCGCCAAGGAGGTACTGGGCGAGACGCGAGGTGGATTCAGAGGAGACAAGGCAGCGTGGTTCTGGAACGAGGAGGTCCAGCGAGTCGTGAAGCAGAAGAAGGAAGCATACAAGCGCTGGCAGAAGACCCGGAGCCCCGAAGAGTTGCAAGAGGCTCGCTAAGGCTGCCGTCGCCAAGGCGAAGAACACGGAGATGGACGCCTTGTACGAGAAGTTGGAGAGCAGAAACGCAGAGAAGTTCGTCTTCAGACTGGCTAAAGCCCGGCATCGAGCTACTCAAGATATCAGGGTGGTGAAGAGTGTAAAGAGCAGCAACGGTGCCATCCTGAGGAAGCCAGCTGAAGTCAAGAGGAGGTGGGAAGAGTACTACAGTGCACTTCTGAACGAGGAGTTCCCCCACAAAGACAGCTCGCAAGCAGAGGCGACGGCTGGCCCCATCTCACTATGGACAGAGGATGAGGTTCGTCAAGAACTAGGAAGATGAAGGTTGGAAAGGCGGTTGGTCCAGATGGGGTGCCAATCGAGGCATGGAAGGCGCTCGGAGAGTACGGGATAGATGGCTCACCCGATTCCTGAACACGGTAACTGAAGGAAGGATGCCGGATGCCTGGAGAACAAGTACTATCGTCCCCATCTTCAAGCAGAAGGGTGACGCGATGGACTGCTCCAACTACCGCGGGATCAAGTTGACTGCGCATACCATGAAGTTGTACGAGCGACTGGTCGACTCGAAACTGCGGGAGCTGGTCCGATCTCCAGGAACAGTAAGGTTTAGGCTGCTTTCATAGTTCGCATCGGTGCGGTCGGTGCCGACGGCGCCGACGGCGCCGACCGCACCGACAGTGTGAAGAGCGTCAATACGCGCTCTGGCGCATGACGCGTACGTTGGGCGCAGATGGCGCGCTCCGATCGATAATCCTGGTTTTGGTGTATTTCTTGTGCTTTTCGATGTTTTTTTGCGCCGTGTTGCTTTTATTCGTGTGTTTTCTGTTCATACTTATTCTTTTATGTCTTGATTCATACTTTTCAGTTGTTCCGCGGACGAGCGACTTCGTAGAACCCCGTCGTACTACCCCGAGTGGCTATACTGGGTGAGTTCATCATAAGCAATTTTGTTTATTCGAGTGGACTCTATAAATTTAGAAGTTGCTTTTTCTTCGATACGTATATTTCCATAATCGTTCTATTTGCTAGGAGATATAATAACAAGTGAGTTTTCCTTCTACACATTGACCATCTATAAATTTTTATTGAATAGGTGT